TAGAGGCTGGAAGAGCATTTAGGAGAACTACTGTGTGCCCTCATGTATGGTTCTCCTGTTTAAAGGGAAGAGGAGGCTGGTGTGTAACCCTGAGGAACCCCAAGAGCCCTCCCTGAAAAGGAGGACCCCCAAGTCATGATATGAAAAAAAACCCCACCCTGTGAAGTAGTGTGGGGAGGCAGCACACAGCACCCTGGCAGTGCTGACCCTTCCCAGAGGCACCCAGGAAGCTGGCACCCAGCAGTGCTGTGCCCACAGATGGGGCAGCACAAGGTGAAGAGCCAGGCCTCAAACTGGTCAAACCCTTCACCAGGGGTTTGGGCAGAGCTGGGGGAGATGCTCCTATGCAAAAAATTGAATTATTAACTATGTGTCTGGGTAAGATAGAGGACAGCCTGCTGCACCAGCTCCCAGAGAACCCTCCTGCCCACAGAACACTCTTACCTTTCAAGAATTCTCCATGAGAGCCACCAAACCCAACACTTCCAAATCCCTTCAAGGCTCTCAGGAAACTATTTTTTCCTATATTAGAGCAGCACAGAGGGTGACTTCAGGTCTCCAGACACAGACAAGCTACTGCCATTTAGACAAAAATGTATCTGCCCAACCAAATGCAGGATGCTGCTCAAATATTGATGCATTACAGATTCACCCAGTGAGTAGAAAACATCCTTGCCTTCAGAGGAAGGTGTAGTTTTGATGATAGACACAAGTTAAACCATTAAGCTTCAAAAAATCCTTTGCAAAACCTGACTGCCACCTCATCTCTGAACGAGGAGCTGAACTAGTAAACCAGGCACACTCAGAGCCTGGGGGAAATGTGGAATAATAGGTGTAAACATTGGGGGAAAGGAAAAGGCAGAAGCAGCCACAGGTCTCTAGCACCATCCTGACCACAAATGAGCTGACACATGGAGAAATGACCAATTTACAGTCAAGAGATGAGGGAATAAACTGATGGCTGAAGTACAGTAAACGAAGTGTTGTGATGCAGTGATACAATTATGCAACTGAATGTTGATTCTTCAAACAATATGAGGGGAAAAAAAAAGGTATTTTCAACTTAAAAACCTCATGACATACAGGTGGAGCTCCATTTCTCATTTAGTCTAGATGAAGCATATTTAGGTTCACAAACTATTTATCTTTCTGTTTACCATTTGATAGCAAACCTGAAATGACCAGAAAGAAATTATCAGCTACACACGGAACGTAGATTAAGGGCACTAAATTAATTTAAAGCCTAATTGGTGTAATCACTTCCACTAAATAGGATTTGTAGATCAAATATGCATCTGGGAACCATTAATGATCTGTTCTGGATGCTCTTTCAGCCACTGAGGTCACAAGCAGTACCTAAATCACTTTGCATTTATAAGGATCCTCGTTTGTAATTTAAGAATATTATTCCTGCCTGAGAAGTAATTTAAGACAATAGCTGAGAGCATAACCTCAAAATGCCAAGTAAATCTTACAGGCAATTATTTCAGAAGATGGACCTTTAAAGGTTTATTTATCACTATTGGCAATAATTGAGTCCTGATGGTAATAACTGATAATAATAATTGAGGCTCTACTGACAGCTCTTTGCTTTGAGCACATCATTTCTTGGGCATCTCCATTTCCTCTGTCTTAAAACTGAAGATGCTCCTAGAAACTCCACTGAAACCTTATACAAATGTTTGTCTAAAAATGCAAAAGGAATGTAAAATTATGGGGGATTTTTGGAAAAGAATCCAAATCCATGTGCACTAATCAAGTGGTTCAGAAAATAACCACGCTGGAATATATTAGTTTAGCCAGGGTGTATTTTAACTCACATTAGCTCTAGGATGCAAACCCTTCACCAGCACATCTATGCAAAAAGAAACTTATCAAGCACAGCATTATACATTATGAAATATTTATGTCCCAGTTTCCTTTTCCCAACTTTTGAGAACTGCAGATTTACCTCAGCCCCTCTCCCCCAGCTATATTATTCACCTGTTGGCGTTTTAGGGTTGTTTGGGGTTTTTTTTTTTTGTGTTAAACTTCAAATAGAAGGGGAAAAAAAAACCCTGGAAATGTTTTGTGTGAGCCTGTGGTTATGTTTTATGACTATTTAAGGCTACCTACCCTGTTAAGATCCTCTATTTCAGAACTGATGTTTGTTTCTCCTTCCATCATTTCCTCCTCTTCTAATGTCCGTTCATCATCAAAGTCATGCACCAGCATATCAGCTGATGGATCAAATTCATGGTCATCAGATGTTGCTGAACCTCCTGATAGAAAACATTTTAAAGAATGTTTTTAGTTACATCATGGCCTCACAGAGTTTAAGTTTTTATTTGGGTGACATTTTAATACTCAAATTATACTGGGAAATTAAAATCTTTTCAAAATCCCCAATTTTTTCTTGGGGAAAGCCAATCTCAGAGCTGTCCTTTTGGGTAGGAGATCATGGAAAAAAGGAGCAGGAGATACTGTTTAACCAGCCAGCTCTCACTAAATATCTTGACATTGGGCCCTAGTTAAAAGTGTTTGTGAAATTTTCCCCATTTTGAAGACCTGAGTCTTAAATAATCAAAATCCTGCCTGAATCCAGAGTTCTAGTGGGAGCAGAAATCCTCACAGAACATAAACTCAGGTTTTTCCTTTGTGCTTTGGAAGGTTTCTTGCTTAAACTACAGTCTAATGACCCTTCCAAAATTTTAATTTACAGTAAGCTTCACAGTTATGCAGATTTTATTTATTACACAGAATCATTAGTTATTTTTCCCTGTGCCTTTGGGGTTTTTTTTGGGGGGGGGCTTTTTTTTTTCCATTGCTTTTTTTTTTTTCCACAGTTCTTTCTAGGAGTCTGGTTATATTTTGTGACAATGAAAAATAAATGGATGGATGAATGGTTTGGCAGATGCAGCATTTTTTTCTGTGATTCAGCAATACCCAGTTTCTGATTCTACCCCTAATATCTTTCCAGTTTTCTCCATGGATAAATTGAATTTCATTTTCCAAAGCTTGGACAGTGTTACCCACCCCAAGGGTGAGAGAAAAGGGGTTGGCTGTAAGGGTTAAGCAGACCTTGGAGTTTGAAGTGTTAAAAAACTGGATTGTTTCTCTGAAAGAAATAAGAACTCAAGACACAAGGGCAGTCCAGCTAACTACTGGAAAGTTTTTCCACTAGTAGGATGGGAATAAATAGTTGGATAATAAATTACACTACGTAGAGTGGTACCAAAGTGAACAAAAAACCCTCTAGATATTAAGAATTTACACTCAGGCTGACTTTTAGATAGACAGCCAGCAGCTCTGGGATACTGGAGGATCAGAAAATAACCAGCTTTAAAACCAGAAGTCATGAAACCCTCCATTTTTAGTAATCCCCAAGGAAAAAAACCACCACTTCTCTTGCAGCTTTTGTTGTTGACACTGTCATGCAGACAAACAAACGTTCAGTAACAGAATATCTATCACTGAGAAAGAGAAAAATCCTCTTTTCTCTGTGTATTTTTACCATTTAGACACTTATACTGGTACAGACTGGAAGAAAACAGGGACTACTTCAACCAGGACTGCCACCCATTGACTCATCAAATCATATCCTTGAGTTTCCCAACTGGAGGTGACCAGCAAAACTAATTTTTCAAGGGTGCCCTCTTCCCTCACCAGTTTAGGAAATGTTAAAAAATATTTACCTGGGCTTGAAGACTCAACAGAAGGCTAAAAAAAGAAAACACAGGAAATTAATATTTTTTTTTCTATGTTGAACCTGTACAAACTCAATTCAACAATTCAGCTGATACAAGGGCAGGCACTGGAGATAACAGATGCAGAAACCAAGCACCACAAACCCACTGAGGCAATCCAAGGGAACCAGGCTTCATTTTCCCCTTTGCAGCTCAAATATTGCTGCCCTAGTTCAGTGAGGATCAAGTGGAAGAACTGCCCCTTTTTTTGGGATGCAATAATTGAGCTGAGGAAAGTAGGAAAAATTAAAGCATAAAGCAATTCCTTCTGGAAAGGGGGATGAAAAGTTCCCCAGTCACAGTGGCACCAGTCAAGGTGTGTGCCAGCTTGCAGGGGGAGCAGAGTTTAAGACAAATTATTCCTCCTCTTCTGCAGAACACCAAATCTCCTCCTCTCTTTAAATTAAAAGACATGCTTTTAAAATGGAATCACAAACCACAAGAAGAATTCCTCACAGAATGAAAGGAAAAAGCAATTTAATCTTAATGTCTATCCCAGCTCAGAGAAAAGAAAAAAACACAACAAAAATAACTTTGCAAGCCAGATTTTTTTTCCCCAGCTAGGTTCCTAACACAAATTAACACCATCAAGGACTACAAAGCAAGTATATTTTTTGAAATATAGACTAAAAAGAGACTTCCACAATGATCTTTATGTAACAGAGGCATCTTTTGGCCTACCATATGTGGTAACTTTACATTTCTAATCAGAACAAACATCTTCCATCATAAAATTCTGCTTTCCCTTGCTTCTAACTTGGCCAGGCTTTAACCTCCTGGGATGGAATTTGCATCTCAGACACACAAACCTCATTTGTTTTGGAAATTCAAGCAAATGTTTCAACTATTTTCAGGAACAGACCTAACAAAGTGGGTTTTTCCAGGTTAGGAAGATTGATTTTTTATGTCAGAGATATCTGCAGGGACACCTCCCACTGGAGCAGGTTGCTCCAAGCCCCATCCAACCTGGTCTT